ACTTCCCATTTTGTAAACACTGTTCTTTCTGAATCAGATATAGTTTATTTGGATACATTTGCTTACTGATAAATACCGATAAATCGTAATATTCAAAGAAATATGTCAGCTTGCAGTACATCAGTGTTGTAATGTGTAACATCTATGTTCCAAGAATGCTGTTAATTGATACCTTAATGACTGCTTTGACAATTTATATGAGTGAGTTGTGTAACATCTGGCGCCAGTAGATGAGGGCAGGTTCATCAATAAACACGGTGAGATAGAGGCCTTATTTCTGGTTAAAACTGCTGTGGCAACTCCGTGTTGGGGTAGATATCTAAATATACCAGTCAAATAAAATGTCCTGTAGACTGAAGATGTTGTGTACAGTTTGTATGAAAACATTATATAACACTCAAGAAACATTGCTGCTTCCCCCATCTATGTAATCAAATATAATCATTTACTTGTAATGCCAGTTAAATATATGTATACATGTATATAAATATAACTGATCGACATTCGGGGATTTGAGAAAAAAGTGACTATTTAAACTTGTCTTTCGGTTGAGGGGGCGCTGGGATTATTCGTATTACATGTAACTATGATCTTTCATGCTATAGTCAGCTATGGTAACTGATTTTACATGTAACTATGATCTTTCGTGCTATAGTCAGTTATGGTAACTGATTTTCATCCATTTTTGTACTCAACTCCAGGTCGTGTCTCATTTGATCCGTACCGGTCGACTTGGCTTTATCGTCATCAGTGGTAAGTGGATGTTCGGTCATATTGATTCCACCTAACTCAAATAAACTATTATTGCCGATGCTGAAAGGTGTGTATATCTTTATTGATGATTTAAGTCGACGTCGTCTGCAATCAAATGCTTTTCTGAGATCCAGTTTAATAGTAGAATCGATCATTCAATAAAAAACGTCAACAAGGACTATCTACGACAGCACTTTTGCCTTTGCATTTTCATCTACTGACTGATGATTCCGGAGGTTAGCACCCTTAGTTTGTCACGTTCATTAATTACCATAACAACAGAGCTTTAATTCCTCCCTGTCTCTTTGAAGCCGCCGATGGTTTTCAATAAAGACTATTCTGCTGTGGTCCGTGTTATGAGGTCATGCAGTGGCAGGAGACTGTGTGATGCAGTCTGGGGGGATACCGATATCTCTGAAGTATCCGGGCACAGAGATGAACTTCCCATGTTTGGATTTTTGTGCGAAAGTGTTTGTCGTTGAAATAACGTTTAACTTTTACGGTGTCCCGGTGGGTCGGACGCATAGCCTGCCCTAGTGCCGTATGGTTTGCTAAAGTCCACTTATCAATGGTGGAATGTTTTGAAAGGGACGTTACAAGTCTATGATATATATATATATATTTTTTTTTTTTAATTTCCGTGCAGTACCACGTTTGCTCTAATGAGAACACATCGGGGCGATAGATCACTGTGCCAATTTCTGTCCATCAAATCCTTCAGATAACATGCAGGTGGTTCAGAACACTTTCACCTCAGTTCGTACTATCATGGCAAGGGTTGAATCAGTTTATAGATAGAGAGAATGAAGGGGATTGTATATTGCTGAACCTGTTGTTATAATATAAATATGTTATCAAAGATCTAGAAATATCCACTACTTCCCATTCTAGGCACAAAGTTTGGTCCACTCTGTTCTAGCTGTACCTCTGTCCAGATGTCATGGTGCACCTTGCAGTGGGCGCCCATCAATCTGTTAAACCCACTTTCCACTGGACGGCGTCCTTTCTGCGTTTTTTTTTTTTTTTTTTTTGTGGGACCATGAGAACGCATCGCTGTGGTCGTAAAGAGGAGGCACAAGCATCCCTTTGGTTGCAGAATGAATGCTCAATGATAGATCTGCTGTCGGCAAGTAAATTATTTTTTCTCAGCTCACAGGGAGGTGGTCAGCAGCCTTGCTATATGCAGTCCTTAGACAGATGATGACATTATTGATAAAGACTGTCAAATAGTCAAAAAATGAACAGCTCTTGTGATGTGGTAAAACAATAACCATGACGATAGGAATGCGTAATAGTGAGTCGAATAAGCAATTTCAAAAAGCAATTTTTAAGTTCAACAGCTGTTCATTTTGGCCAAACATGGTTTCCCTGGGGTAAACGGCAATTTTCCCATAGTTGTCAATGGTACATGAATCCGTTCCGACATATAAAAATATTCACCATCCCCAGAAATGCACTGCATGACGTCACGCCTAGCCCACTGCGCATGCGTGTATTTTTAATGAGTTGCTAGATTGCCATAGGAAAATGAATGGGTTCGCGATTCGTGGGTAATTCGTGAGAATTGACAAACTAACGGCCTGATGCCGATAGACAGCAACGCTATGCTATGCTTCAAGCAACTCCTGAGCAAATATCGCTAGGGTTTTTAAAAAAATTCTGTTGTACACACGTACTAAGAAGTTTGCCGTATATTGCCTAGACTACCCTCAGCAAATCGCAAATATTTTCAGTAATAGTGATTTTAGACGGTAGATTCACTCAGAAACAAAGGGAAATAATTCGTTGCCGATAGCACCAGCTGATAGCAGTAACATACAGAGTCTGATTAAAAATTTCATGGCAATTGAAGATTTTTTACCACTGTACAATGGAGTCCAAAAAGAGCACTTGGCACAAATGTAAAACTGCCCAGTGCAAGACCAAGAATTCAATCAGTATTTTCAATCATATTATCAGATTCTACATAAATTGACTGACCATATCACTACTCAGTATTTAACTAATCTCTTAATCCAAAATTCCTATCATCATTTAATAATTATGCAAAATTATTCTTTCAGATTGCTATTTATTTAAATTTTTAATGCTGCAACTGTTCCAAAATAATCTTGTAGTAAAGGAAAAATGCAAATAAGAAGTGGAAGACCAATTTTACCCACAGTATTCAATTATTTGAATATAAAAAGAATAAGATCACGATTTAACAAATTAAAATAATCTTTCATGAACTCTTTCATGAATAACATATTAAACAAAAATGAAAGTTATAAATCAGTGGTAATGGCTTATTCTGGAATATATGACCTCTGTACATCATCAGTACCTGACTTGGTACATTATAGTTACTACTTGGATACAGAGTTAGATTTAATAATGTAACAATAAAAACAATATATATTATAATAATAAACTTCTCTGCACATATCAGACGCTTGTTACCATGAACTAACACTACTTGACAATGGGCTGAGCACTTATCACAGGGTCTGTGTGCGATGCCATTCTTGTGCTGTGATAGGTTAGTTGAGTCACGTGAAGCCCTACTGTTGCGCCCTCACGTATCGCGTAAATGCTGCACATTTCTGGCCATGCTTTTTTTTCTGAAAAGTTTGATTTTTGTGATAATCTCTTAAGACATCAGTACAAATAGGCTAGCCATTTATGGTAGTATGATGACAAGCACAGATCCCAGAATAGTTGTGATAACTGTCGTGTTGGTAGTTAAATAGAATTTCTTATATTTCAATGAGTTGTTGTGAAATATGGATATCATACGAACAGTTGTTATCCCTTTAACGCATATGTGGCGTGGAATACGAATACCAAATTGCGTTTTAAGGACTAAGCATGACATTTTGTCTCGTTTGTTCCTGGTTTATTTTTATTGCTAGCGCGCTGTGCTCAACCGTATTTTCACCAATAACCGTATTTATGAAATTCCACCTTTTCCCTTTTATCTTCTGTTCAGCTATTGAATCCCTAGCCGTATCTAGCCGAATAATTCTATACACTGCAGGATGCACATTCAATTCACTTCCAAAAAGTGCCATTATTATATACCTAAATATTCCACACACCGCGGCCCAGCTAGTGCGACTGATGATGAAATAAGAGGAATTGCTGGTAATTGAAGTGGGAGACATTAATCATCGTCATTGCTGCTCTGCCCAAGCCGTTTATTAACTGATGAACGCGCTGATTTAGTCACTTGTTGATTAAATAAACACATCACATCCATAGACTTTAAGTCACGTATTGACCGCTAACCAACACTTTACACTGTCCAGACCCCCCCTCCCCCAGTCGGGGGTTAAGTCAGGGACTGACCACTAACCAACGCTTTACACTGTCCAGACCCCCCATCGGGGGCTTAATAACGAGACAGCCTCAGTGCCAGTGATTAAGTTTTATTGTGGAACTTCTATGTGTCGCTACAGTTACGTATCTTTCCAGACCATATCAGTATATTCTACTACATGTCTATAATTATGAAACTAATTTAATTTTAAAGTTCACACAAACACAGACACCATGAAGACTAATTAGAAAGAACAATTCAAAACGATGGCCACAATGAACATTTTATTTCAATTTAACACAGGGCAATTCTGTTTTACAATTTTGGAATTATTTAAATTAGTTGCTATGTCGGTCTCGGTGGTAGATGTATCATCTGTTGTGGCAACGGTAAAAAGCAATATCAAAACAGTCACCGACTGCCGTAACAACGCAGCCCCTTCTGCAATTATACACAATGAAGAAGACTGTTTCGCATGTGTAAGTTGTAGTGTCAATTTTAAAAAAAAATCCTGTGTCTATTCTTACTCCTAATGCTGCGTCTGGATTTACGTCTTTGTGTTCCACGTTGCCATTACCTTACAAGTATGCTCGTGAATTAACACCGGGAGAGCAATCGAGGCAGTTCCAGAAATCCAGTGCTTGAGAAAATTGATTGTGAACTAAAAAACAGACGATTGTTTAGTCACGCTGCACTCAAGATTACGGCTTATAGAAAACAGCCTGTTTACGCAGCAGCCCAGAAGAAACCAAACTCCTCCGCTTTGGTAACTATCAAATTGAGTTTAATCCATTTGACGTCTTGATTCACATCATTTCATATTCCAATTGATTGACAAACGAAGTAGAATCATCCGATATACTTCAGAGATATTTGATGAACAAACCGTGACAGTTGTTCAATTCTACTGGAAGTAATATCTGTACTTTGGCCAATTCCTAGCGGCAGCTGCCTCGTCCATGTGAGCATGCGCAAAATCCCCACTTTGTCAAAGATCGTCTATCGGCTGCGGCGTAGATAGTCAGTGGAATTTGTAGAGTAACTGTAAGATCATCAACAGTGTCGGACTTCTATATGTAAGTACGCATTGGCTCTGTTTGGTATACATGAAATATGCAATAACGTTTTCTATCGTTTGGTACATGTTATTCACATTCGGTTAAAAAATACGTAGGTTTTTAGGCATTTTATAGCCGAGATTTGAGTTCCTTCTATATTTGCTTTTTGCTTCATTTTTTTCGAAGTATCTCATTTTTTAAAGAAATGGTAGTTCCTTCCAAACTTTTGACATAAGGATGTTTATCTATAACAAATCAGTGGTCAGGGCGAAAGGTTAAACTACAGGCAAAAAAAACTGTGTGCAAAAATTGATGAATAAATGGCCGGGGTCAGCCGTCCTATTAATGGCCTGTACTCTGGGAATATAACATCACAGCTGTCTGTGGAGGCACATGTGTTCCTGATGCTATCTCTCTGCCCATTAAAACACGGCCAATAACTTTACGATGAGGGTCCAAGATATCGGAATACCCATCTTAATGAAGAGCGCTGGAACTGTAAAAAACACTCAGATATAACCGCCTCACAAGAACAATTTGTCAGATACAGACAGAGAAAGGATCACATGCGTTAACAATTATAGACCATTCATCTTGGAGGCTTGCTGAAAGAAAAAAGTTACAGGAATCGACGGCACTGTGAAACTTATAATCATTTTACTTCATAATAAGGTTAATAAAGGTAAATCAGGGCAGAATTGAGACCGTCTCCTGGTTGTACCGTTAGACGAGTCAGATCTTCAAGTTTACATTGACGGGTATCTAATTATTTTTGTCGGAAGACGGTCAAAAATGGAGGATGGATTAATAAATATAATTTGGAAGACTGTCAGAAAATATCTCTGGATCCGCCCCTGTGAGGCCCTAACTTTGGTTCTTAACAGCCGAATTGTCGGGTACCCACATCTTTCAAATAATAATAATGATGATAATAATTGGACAACCAACAAAATTAATCAACAAAGCAAAAAAATATCTCTGGATCCGCCCGTGTACATGTAATATAAACAAAATAACATAGTTTGTGAGGTTGTGGACGGTGCGGAGTGAGTCATGGTCAAGTTTCCAAACTACCCAAGATGTCTTTGATTAAAAAAAAAAACATTGATGGAAAGGGTATATTTACGCACTAACAGGCTGATATCAGTCCAGTGACTGAGCATTTCTTATAGTTCGAGGTGTGGTTGTCCTTGTTACACTAAGCCGGCCAAATTCCAGCACTCTCTCTCTGTGGTGCCTGCAGTATTGCCGTACAAGCAGTTGGGTTTTCTATCTGGCCGCTATTCTCTAAGTGTATACATGCATATGCATTTGCTGTAGGAGTGGGAACGTATCAAACCGAATATAGGCTCTAATTACATATTTGATTCTTGATTAATCATATATACAACATACTTTATACGACGGAATAGATATCTATATATGCCTAACCAATGATTTTATCCGTAATGGAAGTGGCAATCACACAGAATACTTCCAGCCTTATTTCCACGACTGAGTTACTCACGAGAACGGGTTAATTCATATATAACCCGCATCAGTGGTATGCCGTGTGTTGAGTTTATTTCAAGCGTTGGTTATTGGGGTGTTTTACCTTAGACTGCTGTAAAAATATCGGTTGTATTTGAACACATGAGGCAGGCTGCTGCAGTTTCTTGGGGTAATATCAACAAGAAAATCAGCACCACGCGCTGCTTACCTCACCGCGGTTAATGTGATACATGGATGAACATTAACTATCTCATGCGTGACGCAAGGCAGGAGTTTAAAGAAATGACTTAGAAGTGTTATACTAGTCTTGATTAATTAAAGGCATGATGAAGAGGTGTTAAGTCACAGGGTAAGTACTACTTGCCAGCAAGGTCGTGATCTTTAACGCTGTTTCTGCACTGTAACGTTCCGCGGTGATGTATCTGTACGTCTGTCATATCCGCGTTATTTGTGAGGTAATTTCTCGTAGTTGTGTTTTGACAAATACGTGTTTTCTCCGATATATAAATGCATATCAGTTATCGACATGCTGGCAGCCATAAGCTACATCATTTGTAACTAGTGGAGATGTAGGCGAGTGAGCTGAAATGATTGTGATGAATTCAGTTCTGTCAGATACCAGATAACTCTCTGGAATAACAGCTTTTCACGTTCTTACTATTCCACGTCTGAACATACAAACTGTCACAGGCCTATAGAAAGGATACGTTAGATATTATTATCCGAAGAGATAAGTGATTATATTATTTTAAAGTAAAACTGCCCTGATGATGTGACACGTTTATAAAAGAGTTCATGACGACAAGTCAATCAAAATATGGAACAGTTTCTATCTCATAAGGCGATCAAAGCTGGAGTCATTAACGATAGAAATTCAACTGTCAGAGGGTGAAGAGGGCAACAGCGTCCTCGAGGTGTTAACAAAGGTCGTCATCGCCATTAAACTTTGTGAAGAACCGAATTATATACTAGAGTTATATACTATAGATAGAAATATATGAGATGGCTCCATTGACAGAAAAAAGAGTGATAATAAAAAGGAAGCAGATGGCTAATGGTGAAATTAATGTTCCGTAAAAGGCGTTGATAAAAATATTTAAAGCAGCGAAATTGCAACGAAATTTATATAGTGCTTAGTGAGAAAAAACTCACGGAAAGTAATTTTTCACGAAAAAAAATGAGACTATGGAATGTCAGAAAAAATAATAAGTATCAAAACTGTGAATAACACGTAGACATGCATCTGTACTCTAATGTTTTTTATGCCAAATTACACACTCCGCCACTTGCCGCACTACATATCAAGGCTCAGTGTGAGAGTCCTCACTTCTACTGAGTCGATCGAAACAGTTTATCTTAAAAACTATGCTGGGAATACTGAAAGTTCCTTCGGAACACTAGCACTATATAGTCAGTACATGTACCAAACGTCAAGTTGACATCGACAAACGTACTTTCCGCGTTCCCTGATTATCCTTGTAGGACGAACCAACGCGAGCTCTCGTCCTTCCATGTTGTCAACGACCTCATACTGTAGGTGCAACCCATTGTACACGCCACTGCTTAAACCTCACAGAACACGCTTTATTTAGTCACACATAACTTTTCCACCCAGGCAGAGCTAGCAAAATTGTAATCTAGCACTATTATTATTATTATTATTATTATTATTATTATTGCAGATAACCAGGATGGCGGTAGTTGACAGCCTCACCAACTCCACAGCCGTCTACAACGACACGGGGTTCACAGCCGTCTACAACGACACGGGGTTCACAGCCGTCTACAACGACACGGGGTTATATTGTCACGTGTTAGAGATGGGCTTTACTCGGGTAGGAATCCCGCTCCTCTTGTCTCTGATCAGCCTTCTCGGGTTGGCGGGAAATGTCCTTGTTATCTACGTCATATCCAGGAATAAACGGATGAACGCGCTGTTCTTTAACTTAGCTCTGGCTGATTTGTTCTTCATCATCGTGTGTGTACCGGTTCAGATCACTAACTATGCCTCGGCCAACAGAGTGGCACTGGGTCCTGTGATCTGCAAGATCAGCTACTACGTCACCTACTTCACCATGGCACTCAGTATCTACTCTCTTGTGGCCATCTGTGTCCTGCGCTATGTGGGCATCAAACACCCGCTTCACGCCAGGAAACTGTTACGCCGCAGAAACGTGATTCTCGCCAGTAGCGTGATTTGGGTGTTTACGTTGGTGTTGAACATACCGGTGGCGTTTTTCTACAATGAGACGTCGACGTCATTGTGTAGTGTGTCTACGGGGGAACAGTGGCAGTACTACGTCTACGTCTCACTGACGTCAGGATTTGACTTTGTTATTCCTTTCATCCTGGTCTCTACGCTGTCTACGTTGATTATTGTAACAATAAGGAAAGACCTCACTGAGAGAGAGGAGCTGCATCTGGAAACTGAGGAACAGCTTCAGCAATCCAAGAAAAATACGAAAAGACTGATTGTTCTGGTCATATTGGTAACAGTGGTCTTCTTCGTCTGCAACGGACCACTTAACTTAACTTTAATTCTTGTAGGGATGGGAGCCGTCAGTTTTACGTGTGACCCTGTGGACGGGATTCCTATCATTCTCATTCAAGTTCTGGCCATTTCAAACGCCAGTTTAAATCCTCTGATATTCAACTTTGCATCAAAGGAATTCAGAAAAGAATTTGCAAAAGCCCTGAGTTTTCGTTCTAAAAAAAGAACCACCGACAGTATGGCTTTAACAGGTTGTGGTGGAAATAAAAACGGAACTAAATGTACTCTAAGAGACTCGCAGTAGTTCAGACAATTCAGTTTTTAATAATCATTGTATGATGTTCTATGTTTTTGTTTCCATTTCACTCTACATTTTATCAATATTCAGAGATAATAGACCTTAGGATTAGTTTTTTTTCTTCGGTATTCTGCATTCTCCTGACCCCTGCTTGCAATTGACCCAATTGTCCGTTTTCCTATGTCTTCTCTGAAATCAGTGGCACTCATTACAGAACGATTACGTTTAAAACCAGCTGAATCCCCTGAGAGATGGGCGAGGTCGGCCATATTGAATTCCACAGTTTTAAAAACCATTGAATGTTTTCGTCAGCAGAGGCGATGTTGTCTCCGTTGTTGTCTGCCACTGCAGTAAATATAGAGACAAAACAAACACTACAAAGCTCGGTGCCTTTCGATATAGGTAATAAGAAGAAATGTAATGTTGTTAATGCATTTTTGTATATTTAATTTGTGAACAAGGTGCACAATAATCAAGTTGTAAGAAGTAAGGCGGCGCTTTTTGAAAAGTTCAACCGTTAATCAGATCCTTATTCCAAAAACACACCATTTACAACTTGGGAAACAAGAAAAACTGCCCCCAGACGGGGTTGAAGTCGGAAATCAATTGAGTTATTCTGCATATTTTCTCATTATAAGAAGAAAGAGACGTACTTAACCTCACAGTAAAGCCCGTGGAGATAGTGTCGGCTTCATGCGCTATAATCATGGAGGTTTATCACCTTCAGGATTCCATTTCTACAATTTCGAATCCTGGGAGCTTCACCTGCCCGTCACTCAGCAAACGAAAAGATCAATGTAATTTTCCGGCTTTGAATATTTTTACGAGGCACTTCTTCCTACCTTATGTACGCCATAACGTCAGATAACGTCAACGTAACAAAATGCGTCGTAGCCTAATTTTTTCAGTTTAAATACCGTGTAGCACTTATGACTTTATAGAACCAATACATTCACCAGTTATAGGACAGAGTTAAGTAGACGGAAATTCTTCATGAAGTTTAGAACACATGCGTGACACGTGCTAATTATTGTAAAATATCAGTAGTCAGTACGGCACTCATATGGACTCACAATCTATCAAGTCTTGTGTGGTCAGTCATCATGCACCGGTCAGTTATAATTAACCATCAAATTTGATAACTGTTTCGGTCCGCCCGGGGGTTGGCCGTTAATGAGTTCGTGCCGGCTTGCATTATTAACTTCTGTCCCCCGGGGAACAGACACTGCTGATTACAAGTTAACATTGACACGAACGCAGCAAAGTCACACAACCAGATCTAGATTTTTATGTATTCTGAATTTTGAGCAAACCTGCTTTATGGAAAACAAAAAGAAAAGCTTTTTTTCATTCATGTACAAACGCTCCATCCGTTTTGATATGTAATAGTTGTTAACAATACATGTCGATTTGTCTTTATTTTTTCTTCCGCTGTCTTTTTCTTTTCCTCCGTTATTCAAAATTCGTATCCATTTCAAACTTGCGTTCTTTGTTTTCATTAAAACTTAAACTAATAACTCGATACCGTTCACTAATGGTGATGCTATTTTCAATATACACATACTCTCTGCTCCTGTTAAACCTCAACCTCTACTCGTCATTGTGACGACTTGACTTCGTTCATCTTTTTACTTGGTTAACATATGGAAAAGACCTATCATTCTGGCATTTAGTCTCCGTAATTACTTCACCATATGTCTCTGCAAGATAACGTTTTCTAATAATGGACTCCTCGGCACGTGTCGCAGTGTTGGGTAAGCACGCTGTGCAGCTCATAGAGACTGAGGTCCCTGGAGTTTGATGTCCAGTCACTTTAATCCCAATCTCCGATGGCCGATATTGACCAGCAGCCACTGGAGTATGAAGACCACAGGGGTGTGAGCGGTTTGTGAGCGGGTCAATATGTTCCTGGTCAAGTGATTCCTATATATAAATTATATTACGATAGCGTATTACAGTGTACCATACGCTGGGCACATCTAGATATTGAAACTGTGTGAATGGTAGAAAAGTCAACAGGATTCGACTAGTCTACATTTTGCAGTATTCGGCATTTAAGTTCCGAATTCCCAAGATTCTACAAATCAGTGAACTCAATGTCCAAACAGTAACAGCAAATTATTCTAGAATGTACATGAAGTTTAATTTTATTATATCTGAAATTGTACTGTTATCCAAACTACGTTACTGCTATGTTGTGTATCAATCTGTCCGATGAGATTATTTCTGAATTAAGTTGGCAAAACTTAGGCAACCCTGGATAGAAGGAGTTTAATCAACCTTCTATGGCAGCTGGGGGTGGTTTACTCTGATATAGATATTGGTCCTAAAATGGCGATTGTATATCATAAAATGTTCCAGAACTGTCAACAGGAATGCCGGCTTACGACGCGAATTACTGATTGTGTAGTGATATAAAGTCTATAAAATATTAGGGAAACAACAAGTACCAGCAAAATATTCACCAAACACCAAAGCATAGGTTCAGCACTGGAGTTACCGATCAATTGTAAAAGCCGCACTACGTCTTAAACTGAAAGATCTATAAAACCAATTTTCCAAGGACACAAGAGACCAATAATAAAAAGGTTTCGAAACATATCTGTTTTGGCCGCTAATTGCACGATATTGTCAAGGCTCGTGCATGTAGAACCCTTGGGTTTGAAAGGGGAGTGGAAGGATTCATTCATTTAAAAGCAATAAGGCTGAATTTAAAGGAATGTGATGTATTTAATTTCTCATGTGCCTGGAATAATGTACATCTAAACTGCATAGCAAGAATCAGCCTTTATATTTGATAGACCATTCTAATATAATTGTTCAGCTAGTGATCCTAGCATCATTTGAAATAAGGAGGTCGATATCATGTCTTTTCAACGTAAGAAGACATCACTGGTTGCTACATAAAACTTTTGCGCCATGTGATGGTAACAGTGTTGAAGTCTAACAGGGCGTGGTCAGTATTCTGCTGTTCTGTAAAAAACTGCACAATTGGTTGGCTGCGGAAAAGGTTGAGGTTTCGTATATGAGTTATATCAAGTAGCGATTACATTTATTCCCCCAGATACTGGTGTTTCAATATTAAATGGTTTTGTCCTAGAAAACCGTTGTTGTTGTTGGATCTTAGACCCCATTTCCAGAGATTAGATCGATCTACTTTGGATCGACCTAACTCCCTGGGGGTTCACGCTAAATAGCTGTCAGCCGGGCGGACACGAAAGTTAATTACCCCCTTACAGCTTGTAGTAGGCGGGACGGACATTTAAGCCGGATTATCTGACAGTAATCTAGTGAGACTCCCCGCGGGGATAGATCGATCTAAAAGCTCTGGCAATACAGCCTTAGTTACAATAACCTTTCACGTATGCCTTGTTCTTGTAGGTCGTACGTTGAGCTCTGGGTAAAGAGGTGCCAACTTTTGGAACTCCTTTGATCATAAATCTATTTCACATTGTTAATGTGTGGTCAAATGATATTTTACTTGTATTTGAGAATTATCTGTCATGTTGTTTTTGTTATTATTATTATTACTATTATTATTATTATTATTATTATTATTATTTGATCTCCCCCGCTAAAGCATTGTATAAAATCAATGTGTGATCACTCAACAGTCTAAATTGGGCCCTAGAGATTTTGAAGAAGATCTCATCACCAGGAGGTATGATTTTAGTTCGTGTGTAATGTGGTTATCACACAAATTTTTTTTTATTTGAAAACTTAAAGCAGAAACCAGTATATTGTATTACCAGCATTCACGGTGTAAATAGATCGCATTGTTTTAAACCATGCTCACATAAATCTCGTGACTATCAATTAACACACGAGTTAAGTCAGGTTCCACTCCCTTCCACTCCTGAAAGCTGTGTGGTGTTAAAAGACAGCCTATGTTTACGTCTGTTTTATTACTTTCTGACATTTCGAAGACGATGATCAGACGATAGAAAGCTTCCAGCGGTGTGAGGTGAAAAAAAAACACATCAACCAATCAAGATCATGATCCCTTGATGGCCGTTTTGAATTACACGTGCTTGCAGGGGAGGTTCTTAATTGAAAGGCCGTCCGCGTAACGTATACGGGCACAAAATATTAGAAAACGCTGGTGAACTTTAACTAAGAGATTGAAAAAGCAGCAGCAAACAGGTGTGCAGGATTTATATGGATGGTATTCGCAGGTCGGTAATCAGGGGTATGATTGCGACCGTGCATCTTTGTACCTCAGAGAACGAATTGGTTTAGTAAATAAGTTAATACAACGAGGAGTTTGGGGGAAAGGGAGGGTTGAACGCACCTGGTTTTGACCACCTTTCAGCTCATAATAGACACCCTCTGCCATAGTAAATTTAATTTTTACCGCATACAAACAAAAAGATCAAGGTATGTCTACACAAAAGGGTACGCTCAACCGACATTTTCAGATTTTGTTTCGACTTTTATAAATCTGATTCTGGCTTTCGACTTACACTGAAAAGAACTTTGCATTGCAAGCAGACAAGTTACGCTGTAGACATCAGTTCTAATCAATAGAACTACACATATTAATTGTTTTGAAAATGAAGACAGAATGGGTTAGTCCCAGTGGGGAAGAAGCTGGTCAAACTGTGTATATTTACGTAATTAATATATTCAGAAATAATCATCTGTTAAGCGAGTTAGATGATTTGATACCTTTTATTTTGCTACATTGAATCCAATGATTAATTCGCGCAGGACTAGTGCACTACGGCTGCCGAGGAAGAGTTTGTATCAAAATTGGGTGGTATGTGAGATATGAACACCGACTTTCAATTGCCCTACTTGACACAGTGTTCACGTTTACGCCGTCCGGGTATATAATCTACGCATCGTTTTCTTAAATGAGGACGCATATTTTTTTGCTTAAGGGGGCATAATAAATGACAAATCGATATTGTGCAAAATTGGACACGGGAATCTGTGTCATAACTTGGGACGAATCGTCCAACGTTTTTCATCTTGACACTCCAAAAGTAGACCTCGCTTTCGGTTCGCTTTAGAGAAATCCGACACCACCAAATCGAGGTCGATTGCTATGTTTTAGGTATTATAGTCACGTGTTTTATGCAACCATGGCCGCGGAAAAGATTTGTCCACGTGCGCCGAAGAAAAGCAAATCCTTCATTCCTGCATGAATAAATGAATTAAAGTGGTTAACATTTGAAAACAGTAAAATGTTTTGTGTCGTCTGCCGGGCAGGAAAATGGATTTTCATGGCAGTAGTCTTACGCAACATAGGAATTCCGTGCAGCAGCTCTCTACCTCTACCGTATTCAAAACGACATTCACTAATACGATGCGGAAAAAACAACATAACTGATAATTAACTTAATCATCCAACTGAGGACCATTTACTGCGTGATCAAGGAAGATACGCCCATACTAGTAAGCAAATTGGACTCACTAATGGAGCTACAAGAATGTAACGGAATGAAGATTGGGTCTGCACTTTACAAGCACCAC